CGAGACAAAGGCGGAGCCTAAAGCCACTGAGGTGACGTTTTGCTCAGATTTGTTTCTTTTTGCATTGTGTTTCTGCAAAGCCGGCACTGTCTTCTTATCTTTGACTCTGTTACGTTCCTTCTCCTCTTCATTGTGTACTAAAAATGGGGGGTGGGGGGGGGGGTGTCTCGGCAGCGGAAATGTGTCAAGACATGGCTGTCCAGCATTATTTGAAGACTTAAAAGCACATCGATTCCCCCGAATTGTTTCCAAAATGACATGTAAAAGCTTACATGTGCTGTTTCAAAGTCTCAAAGGGACAGTGTGTAAAAATTGTAATGTTTCGGTGTTCATTATTTCATACCCCATGATTTCAATAATATGCAAAAAACACAAGTTCTATCAGATCAAAATAATTTTTAAAAATCTATTTGTTGGTGAAATAATTGCATAGGGCTAACAGGAAGCTGCTAAGTTTCGCCGCCATCTTTCCGCTATGGATACCCGAAGGAGACAAATTTAGCGAACGTACTTCCTCAACATCACAACTACAGCATGTGTAACAAATGCAATGCACTTCGTCGCTTTACTGGAAGTTGCTTGCGATGACATTTTGCTTGCACTTCTGTTGAAGAAATTGGTGGTAGGGTTGTGAAGTGTGGTCTCTGAGGCACTGTAGTGCGCACACTCGAGCTTATTGCATTCTCTTAGTTCACCACTAGACGACACAAAGTACTACACAATGTACTTTTAAAAGAAGAAAACACTTTTTTGATGGCTTGAATCATCCTAAAAAAAAAAAATCACTAAAAAAGTATGGTCATTTGAAAGTCAGAAATATCCAAATTTTCCCAAATAGCATCCTTAATCCTCAGAAAATTTGGATGTAAATCCATAAATCATTCCATCGTTTTTATTTTACATATTTTACAGACGATAGCTGCAATATCATATGACAGACATGTTTCAAACAAGAAAAAAAAAACACTCCTTTAAATTTGTTCTAGGTAGGTCTTTAAAAGTATTTAGCCGCAGAGATGCCTTGTTTTTCTCAATAGCATTTCCAACAAGGCAAGTGTCTCCCCAGGCGGCGAAATATCTGCTGAATTGCACTGCAGATAGTACCCTAGTGGACAGAGCGCCCCCAACAGGGCCGAAGGGGATTAGCCCGTTGGGCACTCTGGATGATGACGTTTTCTCAGCGGAGGAGAAAACCCCCGACTCCCAAGAAGAGTTTTCTGAGAAATCCGCAGCTAGGATGAGCCCAGGCTCCGTAAGGGAGGAAGTGTCCCAGGCCATCACCGACAAAAGGGGCATGCTCATCATCTTGAAGGAGGCCGAGGTGGAAACAGAAGTGAAAGAAGAGGTGGAAAAGCTCCCCATAACCAAGATGGAGGCACTGCTTGAGGACGTGTCTCAGGTCAAAGGCTCGCCCAAGAAGGCCATGGCCTCGTGGGTGTCGGAGGTGGCGAGAGCGGAGGAGTCGGAGGTCTTCAGAGTGCTGACGGAGGAGGTGACAAAGACCTTTGAGCAACCAAAGCCCGACATGGCTCCGATAACGCTCTCGGAGACCGCGCCCTTAGCAGTGGTAACTGTATGAAAAGCATCCAATCCACTCATTACCTCCCCGGCCCCGGCAGCAGCCAACACAGCCTCCTCCTAATAATAATAATAATAAAAATCCGGTGCTGTGCATGGCTAACTAACTCGCTATCTCGTCCCTTAACATCCACCGTTTACCTTCACACCACCACTTTCCTTTGCTTGTTTTGGGTTGGCTGAAAACGCCTGGACTTGCCTAGTTAGCAGCTGCTCCCACAGCCGAGATAGAAAACAAACGGCTGGGCAGTCAGGTGGGACACGCTTTCGCTGTGCTGCAACAATTTTTTTTCCCCCCTCCAGTTTTAATTTTATTTATTTATTTTGTGAAGCAGCACTCTGACGTACTCAATGGCGCCACCTGGCCCGCAGCCACCACTGCGGCTTTTCTCCCACCTCACCTCCCCTTGTCCCTGAAAACATTGTATAACAATGTTTTCTACCTGCAAGAAGACACAAATCAACTAGTGCTTAGTTTTGGTATTTCATAAAATCCACCATAAACTTCCTCAGTTCTCTCCCCCCGTCTCTTGTCTCCTCTCATTGCTCTGATATTCCATCTCAACTGTCTCTTCCTTCTTTCCTCGTATCCTTCGTCTTGTCCTTGCCAGTCGACTCTCGGATGGGTTTCTTCTTCTGTGACTTCCGAAAAGGTGACCACACTTTGTTGGTCGGTCGCAAGCTGACGTTGATGTGTTTTGCCCAATGTGTTGTCATCAAAATGCATCTCATCTCCCTCGCGGGTGATGCGTGGAAATGAGCAGGTGTTTTTATTTGACACGCTGATGTTGAAAAAGAATCTCTTACCGAAGTAAAGAGCCCAATAAAAGAGGCTGTGACCCAGAATATTATGACTTTATTCTGTTTCAATTACTACTATTTAAAAAAAAAAAAAAGGTTAAAATTTTTTCTCATAAAAATTTTAACTTTTTTTAGTTGTAAATTCAGTTTTTCTTTTAGATTGCATTTGTTTTATTAAAGTTACGGGAAAAAAATTCTTACTTAACTATTCGTTAACATTACTATTTTTTTTACAAATAGTCATGTGTTCATCTGTCATCCATTCAGTTGAAAAATTGCAACCTCAAAGGATGACAATCACAAAAAACGTTATCGTAAGCGCTTCAAATTGCAAATTTTTATTGCAATATAACTTCTGTCATTAGAATTTGACTTTTACCTAATTTCGCTTAAGGTACAACTTGTCATAATCATTTATTTTCATAGAATCGAGCAGATTGTAAGTTTTGTCTTGACTTTTTTCTTGTGAAGTTGTTACTTTTCCCTCAACATTTGTATCCTCATTTTATTCTTGAAAAAAAATATATAGTTATGACTTGGGTTTTTTTTAACTTTTTTATCATCAAAGTATCAATCTTCAAACTTTTGACTTCATTCATGAAATTACAACTTTTTTCACATTTTGAAGTCATTTTCTTTTCAGTGTGTTCCTCAGGCATCATCCACTTTGATGATGCAAATCACTTCAATCACGCAATCGTCATTTTCATTCACAGGCATCACCTGACTCAGAGCAGAAGAAACCTGTTGCCATGGAGATGGACACAGCGCCGGAAGAATCTGCAGTGAGTATCCAAAACAAAGATAGCAACACACAAATTAATAAATTGTGTTAAATCAGAATAGAAGACCAAAATCCAGACTAGTAATGCATCTAGATCGGTGGTTCTTAACCTGGGTTCGATCGAACCCCAGGGTTTCGGTGAATCAGTCTCAGGGGTTCGACAAAGCCTCTGTCATAGAGGTTAAGACACACCCGACCCAATATGTCAATTAGTTAAGACACGCCCGCTTTGCCATCGCTGGCTGCGGATGATCACATGACATTGCTTGTCCAATCAGTGCTGCGGGAAATCTACTTCGCTCAGTCGTCACCGTGTGACTGTCGTGATAGTACGTCGTAATATTAAAAAAAAAAAAGTATACTTATGTCTTGAAATGTTCTTTACTTTTTTTTCTGTTTTTAATAAATGTTTTTTTCCAAATGTCTTGAATTTGTTTAAAAAAAAAATCCTATTTTTATTTTTCACTAATGAAGGGTTCGGTGAACGTGCATATGAACGGGTTGGGTTCGGTAACAAGGTTAAGAATCTAGATGTAGAAATAGGCTGTTGCTGCGTCGCCACCTAGAGCTCGAATGGTGATGATATCTTTTTTTTTTTTTTTTATTGTCCGGCAGCGTATGGAAGAGGACGTGGTCTGCACCAAAGAGATGCCTGTGGTTCATACAGAGACTAAGACCATCACATATGAATCTGGAGTGGTCCGTGCTTATTGCGATCTTCCATGATCAAATGCTGCTGGCTCGTAGCTTTCGCTGTTTAGCCTTCAGACTTGGCCCGGGTTGCGTCTCGAAATTTGTCCCTTACTTTGTCAACAGGGCGATATGAATGGCGACACAGACCCCGGCGTGTTGCTGAGCGCCCAGACGATCACCTCGGAAACCACCAGCACCACCACCACTACGCACATCACGAAGGTCAGACTTCATCGTTGACATTCAGCATCGAGTAAAATGACTGACTTTAGTGTTTTGTGATATATAAATAGTTGGTTTTTTTTTTCTCTAACCTGTCAGACTGTAAAAGGAGGCATTTCAGAAACAAGAATCGAGAAAAGGATCGTCATCACGGGAGACTCCGACATCGACCATGATGAGGTATTTTACTTTAAAATGCTCATTTTTGTTAGATTCATGGAACAGCTTTAGAATGAAGCATTCAGTCCTTCTCAGGAGCCCAATTTGAGCCACTTGCAATCAAAGGGGCAGAGCATGCAGCCTCGAAACGAATGAAATTGTTCACTTTTGATTTTAAAATTTGGATAACAGTGACTTCCTATCCCTGCTCTACCCCCACCCCCCCACCCACCGTTCTCTGCAGCCCTCCTGGTGATCCCCCCTTACGGCGCTGCACCCGTGCGAATGTAGGCTCTGGCTCAGGCCATAAAGGAGGCTAAAGAGCAGCACCCTGACATGTCAGTGACCAAAGTAGTGGTTCATAAAGAGACAGAGATCACGCCAGAGGAGGGGGAGGACTGACCCAGGTAAGCCAGCCAGTGCAGTCCTGCTCCCCGCTTCTGGCATGCCTGCTTTTTCTCCCATCACCCAGCAGTCGCCCTCTTCCTTTTTTTTTTTTTTTTTTTTTTTCTCCATAGCGCTTCTATGCTAATGCATTTTGTTGTTGATGCCGGGATAGAAAGAGGTCAGGCGGGGCGCACGCACACAAGGGATATTACGCTCTCAAACTTGTAACGACAAGCCCGACAATCCCTTTCCACTAATGCCGCTGTCTTTCTCATGCAGTCCCATGTGATGGAAACGCTCCCCCAGCTGGACACGAATAGAACGCCGCACACCGCGGAACACTTCACTCGCAATTTAAGCATTGAGTCCAAATGACTTTTTTTGTTCATATAAACATGTAAGAAGTTTGAAAGTACTGATTTCTTGACATAGATTGTGTGGCTTCGCCACAGAGGCACCAGCAGTTTCTGAGAGATAAAATACCTGCTCGACCGGCTCCTGCAAACATACCGACATCCAGCAGAATCTGATCTGAAACACACATGGGCGTGCCTCAGTTGGCCAAAAGCTGTCTTGGAAACTCAGGTGCAGGAAAATGGAGTCAAAGACGGCATAGCTTTTAACTGTTTGCTCTTAAGGAAATCGGTTTCCTGCTCTGCTCATCTACAAACAACTTTTGGCTTCCTCAAATGCAACCGGCACAAGTTTGTTGGTCACAAAATATTCAGTTGCATATACTACTAGTCATTCTTGCACATTTAATATACTATGATCCAAAGTTATTTAAATGCGTCCCATTATCTGTCACTTTCAACTCTGAAGATGCTGCTCAGCGAGCTGTTTTGACAATCGTGTTCCCCCGCTGTGGTCTGCAGACATGTGTAGTATCTTCCGGCTTGTCCTAATTATTGGACATGTAAGCGAAACGTTTGCACATTTCACTCTGCGCCCCTTTTTTTTCTAAATACGCTGCAGATGTGACCATATCTTTCTACCTCAGAATACATTTTTGGGGACCAAGGTGCTGTCCACTACAAAGCACTGAGCAGATGCATACACCAACGCATGAAGCCAGCTGTTAAGCCCAAAAATAAGAAAACGTTTACATTTTTCAGCCAGTCAGATGGAAATTACGTGATCGGCCCTAATTCCCGATTAAATGATCAGACGGAGGCAGCTCCAGAATCAACCAGTCACATTCAAACTCAATTTTAAACGGGAGTCAGCACATACCCGGTACCATTTTAACTAAACATAAGGATTTCTGATCGTGACTATTGAACAGGTTTAACATTCATGATTGCTGACAATTTTCCCAGCAGCTCGTGGACAGAAACAAAGTTGCTCGTAACATAGCCCACACCACAGGATTAGCGCTCGGGATAATCTTCAGATATCCGATAATCAGGCTTTCGCTAACTGGGAGGGAGAAGGGAGAAAATGTTTCATTTGAACACAATGTGTGTGGACCCCCCTCAGTCCCGTTTTGACCCATCTGTTTTTTTTTTGAGTGCAACTTTCCTGAGCCATGAATACAACAACAATCTCAAATGTGTTGCTGGTTTGGGATGAGCCAGTGTGCGTGCGTGTGCTAGTGTGACTCAACACATGGGAATGTTTGCCTTTTGTCTCTGCTGCCTTACGCTCAGTGCAGTAGTGTCTGTTGACTTCAAAATCGAGCTACTAACCTGATCTTGAAAGTTTCCTTTGCAGAGCATAGATGCACGCACGGTGCTGGGGCGGTCAAAGAATGGCCAAAGAGTTGATGTCGACTTGAAATTCAACCCCCGCATTGATGGATTTTGTTATCTAATTATGAACAAACATGAGCTAACTTGTCTCGTACTCGCCTAAATGTCAAATTGGTTTGATGCCACCTTTGCCGGCAGCGCCCCAGACACATGTGCTATCTCTGCTGAATAGATTTTTGTTTTTTACTTCAAAGACTTGAGAAGCTTAACACTTCTATAAACCTCATACAGTGGAACCTCGTAAGGTCGATCAAGGAAACTCAAACAAATTCATACCTGGGGAATATTGCAAAGGATATTTAGTGTTGGTCGCATTGAGACGGAAAAACAAATTTTTGATGTGTCTCACGCATCTCGTTTTTTAACTTCTCAGCACATGTTGCCGAGTGTAAAAAGAAGTTAAAACCACAGTACAAACATCAACACAATTAACCTGATTGTACTATAGAATATAAAGTTTCGACCTTATTGACGTTTGACTATGGAGGTTCTGCTTTGTTGTGTCCATCTTGTTCTGACCTGGTATGAATGGAACTAACAAAATGCATTGCAAGTACTAATTTGACACTGGTGTTCTGTGCAACGCTATGTCAGTATTCGCTTTCACACAGAGAGCCTGCAAAATTGCCGCATTAAGAATTGTAAGGAAGTTCCGGCATCTGGCTTGACGGTGACTTTACTTTCAAAACAGTTTGGCTGGAGAAGTGAGTGCTACATGTTACATTTTCCTCGTTCCGGCATTGTGGAACACGCTCCAACACAGACCTCGCCTTGCCTCTGTTATTATGTCAGAGGTCAAAATATTGCTGGGTCAGCGGCCAAATGTTGACGCGCCACAACCGATGGTGGCTCTGGCGTCATCTTATGATCTTGTAGCCGAATGCCAGATCACCTTCAGCCCTGATGCGGCCATTTTGCGCACACCCTGTGGAAAGGATTTTCCGCATTGTTCACACCATTTGCGACCCAAATGGCGGTCGGAGTGGCATTGCGCTGACATTCGCGCACTGACCTGCGGTTTCTTTTGCTTTTCCAGGAGTAACCGCGTCACCCCCGAATTCCACATTCGACTGCGGGACCTGAAACTCTTCCTCTCCCTTCCTCATCCTCCAGCTTGCCCGCTAGTCGCAACCATCCAACCTGCAAAGTAAAAAAATGGAACGCATGCGCGAAGGACTTAATATGGCATTACTATTATTATTACCACCATCGGACACCCATGTGAGGTTATCTCAGAAAAAGCTGTACAATTTTTTAAAAGTAATAATAATCATTAAAGCAAGTTGCTTTCACTGCCTTATGACTTTAAAGCATTTTTAATGAAAGTAATTGAAGCCAGCTTTTTTTGTTTTTTTTTATTTATGAAGTAAAAGCCATCACTCCTCACAGAGGCTGCATAAACGTTCAGCGTGTGCACTATTTAACCTTCCTGTCGATGGATTTTCCATCAGGTATGCCACTAAATACAAACACGGGCCATGTTTATTGATCTCTCATTGTTGATTTTATTCTGTTTTTGTCATTTTTACTTGAAATGCATTTTTTTTTTTTAAATAATCATATCAGTATTTTATTTTGTGTGTGTTCGCATCGGAGCTCTGACGAGGCTTTTCATCAGCAAGACACCAAGGAAATCTTGTGAATGAGTCTGTGCAGGTTTTGAATGTGTCCGCTCTACGCCAGGCCCCTCGTAGCGCTACCCGTCTCCGTCGCCAAGTATACGTTTTGACTCCAGATGGTTGAGAAATGTGACAGACGTGTATCTGTTTTGAATTGCAGTTTCCTTCTCCGGTTAATAAAACGTTGACACGTCATAACAGAAACGAGTGTGATTTGGATCATTTGTGGGACTCACATTGTGGGTGGGAAACCTATGGCACGTGGGCCTTTAGAGAGCCTTTCATTTTGTCCGCCACTCAATTCTCGAAAATGTAAAGCCTCTGGTCTTTTACTTGAAAAAAACAGTTCAACAAGAAAAGACCACCCATCCATTATTGTAACCATTGATCTAATATACACCACTCACAAAAGGTTCGGGATCTTTTGGGTGAAATTTCGGAATGAGCCTAAAATGCATTCAAACCTTTACAGCTGAACTTAATGTGACCTCTCAGCTTTTAAATGCACATGTCCAACTGGTAAATGTTTCAATACTTTTTGCACAAGTTGCTGTTCACTAACGAGAAGCTTCATGGCAAAATTCAGATGTTTGACCCGTAAATCGACCAATAAATGGTTCAGTTAGAGCTGGCTGAACTGGTTGCCAGCCAATTGCAACGCACACATACACAAACAACCATATGCGCTCACAATCACACCTTGGGACAATTTATAGTTTTAAATTAACCTACCGTGCGTGTTTTTGGAATGTGAGGAGAAACCGGAGTACCTGGAGAAAACCCACGCAGGCACGGGTAGAAGGTGCAAACTCCACACAGGAAATCCAGGGCCCGGAATCGAACGCATGACCTCTGCACTGTGAGGTGGACTAACCAGGAACTCGCCCACTGTGCCACCCAGGGATTCAAACATGAACCCCCAAAGCCCCTGGAAAGTTACGACAAATGTTGCCTCCCAAAGCTTGTTTCATTTGTACACCCAATTCCATGTTGCGAGCTAATATAACAATGTATGGAAAATTCATGGACCCATTCTTGAAAAGTGCCAGTTTCGTTTGAAGAAGTCATTTTGTGGTTAACTCAGAGCTCTAACAAACACTAAGGTACAGTATTCACCGGATGAGGCTGAATCGAGAAGCAGGCGACCCAGACCTAGACAGCATTGCTAAAGTGCAATGCTTGTTGTTTTTCTTTTTCCCCCCCTGTCACCTCATGTGGCGAAGCATGGCATCAATGCCGATTGATCTTTTCAAGGGGTTGCCACAAACAATGTCGGGGTATATGACAGTTTTAAATTCTGAACAAGGCCGTTAGAATGCCATAGTATTCACTGCTTAAAGATTTTGTTTTGAAAAGGGGGTTTCAGCAAGTGTTTGTTACAAGACATGACTAAGATTGACTGGAAAAATACAGCTGAAAGGAATGGAATGTTCTCTTGATGAACGCTCAATTAAATTAATTAGCAACTTTGCATGTAAACGCTTGCGCTGCTTGTTTTTAATGGGCATAGGGTCATTAAAAAAATCATCATTTAATCTACCATTGTTATGCTGTTTTATGTTTGCTTCTTTCATTATTGCAAGATCCCTCTTGGACCATTCAAAGACCAACAGGTTCGTGTCTCTGCTGAAAGCGGTCCAAATTCAACGGATGCATCAAGCTTGACACTCTCTCTTCAACAATTACCCCTGTCAAAACAAAATACACACTTTGTATGGCATGTACAGTTTCACAGCAAGAATCCCACCATTTATTTTCCCCCAAGATGGCGCCCCAGTAGACAGCCGTCGGCAAGTGCTCTTCAAGGGCCTTGCTTTTTTGTTGTTTTTGTGGGGTTTTTTGTCACATTGTGTTTGTTGTTAAGTCATGTGGACCTGCTGTCGATTGTTTTCAACATTTTTTGGCCACGACGTTCGTCAAAGGAGAAGAATCTGTGCTTGATGGTTGCGCCTTCTCGGCAGCACGCGTGTACCAGCACTGATTTTGATTGGGAGAAATGTCGGCGCCATCTCACTGTCGTTGCTGGACAGCCCCGTGGCGCTTGTGTTTTTGCGCATGAAATGGGCAGCATTTTTCACAGCCCCACTTTGTTCAACGGTAATGTCGGTGCTTGTGGAGCCGACGATGAGAAAAAAGGAGCGTCAGAGCAGAGCGCCGATGCATATGTGGAACTGGGAGTCGCGGCTTGAAACTGAAGCGGATTTACATGGGACAGGAGATGTGAGCCAATCTCTTTTTCGTCAATGGACGCTACAGCTTCTTGTTTGCTTTCAAACTGAGCTTGTAGCAGACGTGTGCACATTTTCAGCATGATGTCTTTGATCCACTGGTGAAAGGGCACTTTGATACGCTCGTCTTTCATCTATAACTGCTTCAAACAACAAAGTGTATGCAGAAAAAGAGGTTAAGATTGCATGACTGTCTGTGTCTTATGCTTTGTGTTGTATTATTTTGTCATTTTATGTTAACTGTTCTTTTGATGGCGGCGCGGGCACCCGCAGCGGCTCCTCTCTCCTGAGGAATGTACAGTAATTTCAACTGTGCTGTATGTTGCACATGTAGCACATTCAAATTTGACAGCCTCCATGCCACAGGCTTGAAGAAAAAAAAATAAAAGAATAAAATATTTTAAGTTTTGTCTAGGGAAAGTCACCTGTCTGTCTGTCTAAGTCACAATTCAGTGAGTTGTACTTGTCTTGAGTCGACGTCTGGCTGCAGTAGCGTCCCCGGTGCGCTTAGTGGCGGTAGAGTACATCAGCATTTCCTGTGCGGCGCGGCAGTCACAACAAGAAAGAGGAGGAAGAGGAAAAACGACGGCAGCAGCCAGTGTGGATTCGTCGTCGACTCGCCTTGCGTGACAACACGGGCAATCGCATTCGGGCTTCGGGTAGGAATCTTTTTCGTTTGGTCCGTCGAGTGTTCGTAGAATCGAAATGTTGTTTATGTTTCGAGTACGACCTCTTCTATGTTTCCGCGCTCGTTTCTCGACCCCCCCCCTCCACCACCACCATCTCCTCCTCCTTCCTCAATGAACAACATGCCAGCGGAGCTTGTGCTTGGTCAAAATGGCTGGGCGCAGTGAAATGTGAAATATTCCCTCTCACGCGAGCCTTGAACACACTATCGAAAGCCTTGAACGCATCGCGAAATAGAAATTAAAGTGCGTTTTGTTCGTGCCTCGCGCTCGTCGCCGTTGACTTTATTTTGTTTGCATGTTTGTTTTGTTTCCCTGCTCGGAATATTTACCTAGTTTATTTTTGTTTGTGTGTCACTGCGAGGGAGGCCGTTGTTTACCATTGTACGAGAACTACAGGTGAAGTCGATGCGGGAGTTTAAGTACTTGGCCTCGACCGTTCAGAGCTATTGGGAGAGTGGACGGGAGGCGAAAAAGAGAGTCCGGGCGGGGGTGGGGTGGATATCGGGTGATCAGTGATAGAAAAGCGCCATCACAAATGAAAGGGAAGGTTCGATACTGTGATTTTGGGTAATGGTCAGTTATCTTGAAACAAAGCTCGAGGTGGCAGAGTTGAAGATACGAAACTGCAGCGAGTTCAGACTGGAAGGTTTGGAGACGAAGCTGGAGACGTTGAGACTGGATGGACTTGTAGAGTGAGGGCACAGAGGATCGGAAGCTGGAGATAGAAATGGACCCGCCAGGGACGAGATAAAAGAGATTTATGGGTGTAGTGAGGAGTTATTAAAACACTGCAAACCTTTTTGTACATAAACAAATTGCAAGCATAAACACAAGTTCCTGCTTCTTAAAAGGCGTTTATGCTGCGACCAAGATAGCCCTTAACTTTCATTCAATCAGTACTGAAGTTGAGGTGCCAAAATTG